ATTTTTGTCAAATTGTTTTATACTTAGAACATTTCAAAAAGTAATTTTTCTAGAAATAGTTAAATTACGGCACAACAATGTCTGGTACATGTATTAGAGTTTGACTAATTCAAAATAGCATATTGCAGGGCTCATTTCTAGGGACAGAGCTCACAACAGGATTTCTCTATTAAAAAGTGGAGATATCTCACCCATCCTACCATAACTCATGTTAGTTAAAATTAGAGTCAATAAAAATGGATGTGATCATGTATCATATATTTACAACAATTAGTGTAGTTTCTAACCTCCTTTATTTTATTTCTTTTCTCCCCTATTAATGGAGCCAATTGAAAGCTTTTTGTTTGGGAGATATAATTTAATTTTGTGGAGCTCATATTGGAGTTATAAATGGGGGTTCATTGTGTGATACCAACTTTTCTGCAAATTGATGTTAAAGGACCACTTTGAAAAAGGAAAATCAGAAAAAGAATCATAATCTAATTATAAATAACTCAAGTCTCAATCTAGTTACATTAACTATATCATTTTCATCAACTTGCACCTCTAAAATGTTGTATTGGTATGTCATCAACAATACCAATACAACATATACAAAGCCTTTTTTGTCCCCTAAATAAAGCATCGAATGTTTTTTTTTTAATTTCATATAGTTAATCAGGGAATGTGGTCCATTTGGTAACTCTAATAAAGGTGTTTCATTTACTATGTGGAAACGCCAAGCAACAAATACAAAATGTCAATTTAAATGAAATATAAGTACTACCAACTCCACTTTTACTTGTCCGTATTCATGTTTACTTGCTCAATTTAAAAAATCAAGAGATAAACTATAGTCATTCTTCAATGTAATTCCCAAAGCATTGAACTTATCATCTAAAGATGTAGAAAAAAATATCATTTTATTTATTATTGCTTAAGAGACGTATTAAATCAATATTGAACAAGTAAAAATGGATAGAAAAAGTATATAATTCCGACTAACATAGGTTTTACAGACCGAATCAAAGGAATCAGTTACCTTGGAAGTTAAAGTTGCTAAAGTTTTAGTATTGATTTACACGAAAAAAACTGTTTACCTAAGACTGAAAGATTCAAAATTTAAAAAAAATACTCACTCCATTTTAAAATAAGTGGTGTTCTTCTAATTATTATCTTACTTGACCATGAAATTACTAATTCAAGATATTTATTAATGATAAGTTAGTAAATGAATACTTTCTTAAAAGGTTGTCCAAGTTTTAAAATAAATATCACTTATTTTGAAACAGAGAAAAATAATTCGGACTAACATAGGTTTTAGAGACAAAATCAAAGGAATCAATTACGTTGGTAGTTGGAGTTGGTTAAGTTTTATTAGTAGTATAGATTTACACGAAAAAACCTGGTAACCTAGGACTGAAAAGATTCTGCTGAAATTTAAAAAATAGGACGGAAAGATCAACTTGTATCTCTATGTGATATATATAGGTCAAATCGTTGTCTCGTTTAATTTGTACCGTAAAGGAGTCTTTTGATGTGAGGTAAAAATATAGTTATAATTTTAGGATAAAATATATGATTGTTTTACCTCACAATTGATTTGCGATTTTAAACAATACTTAAATTATTTATTCTACAAATGATATAACTTATTTCGAAACAATTAATCATAAAATGATTGTTCTAAACCAAAGGAATCCTAATACTAAAGAAGTGCAAATGCTTTGCTGTTAAATCTTGTTGCAGCATTTAACTTTTTTAAGAAAATTAAAACTGAATAGAATCCTTTTTTTTTTTTTGGTTTTTGGTTTTTTCACACGTGTCGATTATCACATTGGAATCCGACTAAGTTCGAATTTACATCGAAAAGTCCCAAATTGGGGGCTAAAGCACTTTCTAACAAAGGCAACTCCATAACTAAGGGGACTCAAACTCGAGACTTCTTAATTAAGGATAAAAAAGTATTTATCATTCAACCACAACCATTATTGATAACGGAATAAAATCAATAAAAAAACTTTCTGAAAAAGTAAGGTCGTATTTCGTACTTGTGAGTACACTGTACACTTACTGCTCACCCGTGATTTCTCTGCACGCACTACCTTCAATAGTAATTCTATCATTTATTGTTTGTTCCGTTCTAAAATATTTGTCTATGTTTTAATTTTTCGAAAGTAAAAATATTTGAACTTCATTAATATTTTAGAATATATTTTTTATTATATTAAAATAAGAAAATTATAATTTATATTTTATAGTCTTTCCGTATTGTTTGAGTATCCTAAATATAATTTTTAAACTATTAAATTATTTTAATTTAATTTAACTTCAAAATTATTTAAATTAACTATTAAAAAGTGAAACATAATAGCTAAACTGTTAAGTTATTCCACCGTCTTAATTTATGAGAAGGTGTTACTATATCAGGAGTCAAAAAATTCCCCGTTTATTACAATTTTTTTAAAAAAAATTAAAACAGATTTTGAATTAAAATAACTATGCTGACTTGTGATACTTTTTATGTAATTTTAAATGTATATAAAGTTTATTTTAAAATATTTAAAGAGAATATATATACTCGAATTCATGGTATAGAAAATGAATACTTTTCTTATAAAACTCTACACCAAGTAATTCGATGTCTCTTTACCTGACCAGTAGTAACTCTTTTTTCTTTCTTTTTTTATAACTTACATAAATTCCATAAGGAGCTAAATTACATTTTATCCCTACTTTTTTTTAATTTACGAAAATTCCTCAAAATTAATGATATTCGGATACATAACAAACAAGTCAAATATATTAAATTTGATACATTAAAATAAATTCAGTTTAAATTAAGTTATCAATATATTACTATTTATGTATCTTGTTTAAATTGATAAGTGTTGTATTTCTACTAGATACATTAAATAAGAAATTGTTGCCCATAAGATGTTAGGTTTGAGATCGATACATTATTGTTTGGTAATTGTTATGTATCAGATACATTTAGTATAAATCCGAATTTACGTATCATGTTTAAAAAATTAATGCATGATACATTTGATAGAGTTTTTGTATTAAGTATCAATACTAATTAAGGTTATGTATCAAAATTAATATTTGAACACGATACATTGTGCATGATAGAATTGTAATGTATCATAATGTTGAAACGAAGATAGTATACATTAGTTTAAGAAACAAAATTAACTAGATACATTAAAATCTAAACCTATATGTATCAGAAAAGATAAACAACCAAAAAATCGGAAAAAAAGACAACAATCTAATCAACGGAAAGCAACGAAGATGTATCTTTCTCAGACTAATTAGGTAAGCCCAATACTGAAAAAGATCGAATCAATGGAATGAAGTGTATCAAGACCACCATTAGAAATTCCTTGAACCATACCAAATGCACTCTAAGATGAACTATTTGCATTAGCAACGATTTTCACCCATCTTCCAGTAAAGAGTCCGGGAGTAACAAATTCAATAATCTTTTAAGATGAAAAAACTAAAAAAAAAAATAAAAAAAAATTTGAAAATTGAAGTGATGGAAAGAAATCTACCTCTTGAATAACTTGAAATCATTAATTTCTTGAATAACTTGAAATCATTAATTGGAAAGAGGAGATTTGAAATTCAAAAATGGATTAATGTTGGTAACTGTGGCAAGATTTGTGGCTTGAAAAAAGGAAAGAAAATGATGGGTATGAAATTTCAAATTAATGTATCCGGAAAAGGGGATGATGGGAGCAAAAGAGGGAATTTTTGATATTTTTTGAAATGGTAGGGAAAATAAGAAAATATGATAATAAATGATGTGTAGTTAGGTAATTTTTCCTTTTTTCTTTTCTTTTATTAGAAATGGATATTTTTAAACAAAAAGATTTTAATAATTGAGTTTTTATTAGGGAGACATTCGAAAATAACTTAACTGAATAGTAATTTTTTTCAGATTTCTTTAAAAAAAAATTTGGGATCTCTAGATCTTTTCTTTATATACTTCTGGAACAGCATATATAAATATAGTCTGATATTCCTTCTTTGAGATTAGAAAAATCAGAAACTATTAAAAAAATCTTAACAAACAAACAAAAACAAAAGAAAAAAAAATCAGTAACAGTAGAATATAGAAATAATTTGTAACCACAAAACAAAAATATTTCTGTTGAAAATGAAAATGAGAAGAAGTTTGAGACAAGATGTTGGAAAAAGAAACAAGTACCATTAATACCTTTGTATGTTGAGTTCACTTGTAACTTTCCTTCAATAGTTAAATCTTTTTTTTTCTGGCCACAATATATAAATTATTAAGTCAAATCAAACCTTAACACAACAAAAATCAAATGAGTACATTAATTCAAATATATCTAGATAAATACCTAATAGAAATGGAAAAAAAAAATAGCATTAACTCTACTACATTTGAGGGAAAATTTTAGAATTATACTCTATAGAAGATTGGCATTAGAAGTGGGATTTGCCCCCCACCTTGTACTTCTTCTAATATACATATACCCTACCATGTTCTGACCTTTGCTACTGAACACCCACATGATGCAAGATAGTTGTAAATAGTACTCCCTCTCCGTCAAAATTTACGTGACACCGTTGAAATTTCGAAAAGAATTAATTTTTTTCTAACTGAAGTTATGTATGTACTTTTAAATATATTAAGTTGTTAATTATTATAATTTATAATAATATTTTTACGTAATTTCCAAATAAATAAACTTTATTTCAAAAGATTTAAGTTTCAAACTTTCATACATAAATTAGACTAAAGGAAAATAAGGGAGTAATGTATAGTATCTCAATAGGGAAGAGTCTTTTATTAGTTAAATTTATTTCATTTTTCCAACACATATCACCTCCTCCCCCACCTAGTTAGAAGATAAAAAATAGATGGGAAGTTTCTCCATAAATAGGTTCACTTCCCTCTATCCTAACCACCACCACTTCTTTAGTATCATTCCATTTTCTCAAAGCAAAAAAGTATTTCTTACTAAAGCTCTCAACTTTCTTTAATTTCTTCAAGAAAACCATACTAAAATGGCCATCAAAAAATCAAATAAGTTGTCACAATCTCCTGTTTTGAAGCAAATTTTGAAGAAGTGTTCAAGTTTGGGTAAAAAAAACGAAGACCACCTTCCTGTTGACGTACCAAAAGGACATTTTGCAGTTTACGTGGGAGAAAATAGGACTCGATACATCGTACCTATTTCTTTTTTGAGTCATCCCGAGTTTCAATGCCTCCTTCGTTGCGCTGAGGAAGAATTTGGGTTCGATCATGATATGGGCATTACAATTCCTTGTGAAGAATTTGTTTTCCAATCACTTACATCAATGCTGAGATAATTAAGTAATTGGAAAGAAGAAAAAAGGTGAATATTAGGTATTAAGGTTAATTTTGGAGTGAATTAAGAAAGATGTGTTCAAGATGAAGCAAGTTAAATTAGTAGTCTTTTTGCTTCTTTTTTTTGTAACGTCTTTCTTTTCACTTTTTTTGTTTTTAATTTTTTTTATATTTGTTTATTATTTTGTCAATTTCCTCTAACCCTGACCTAGGAATCACATGGATATTAGTAGTGTTTTTTATGGGTTGGTTGGAATTTTTTTCCCTTGAAGTGGTGTTTTTTCAAGCACCCTATGAGAGAAGTTAATTATTAAATGTGTCTCAATATATTTAAATTTGCCGTTTTTTTATACAAATGTCTATCAATTCTGTCTGTAGTTTTACTGTTCCTTCTCCGATCATAGTTATCTACTATGATTTGACACATATTTAAGAAATAATAAATAATAGAATTAATATAATTACATATTTTAAATATATTAAATTTAATACTTTAGAAAATGTATTAGATATTGAATAATAACAAGAATAAAATAGATATAAAAAATAGATTATTTTTTATTTTTTTATATTGAACAAATATTACTATTGAATAACTATATTTAGTATAGGAGAGAGGTAGGGGAGTATATTTTTGTTTGGGAAAATTGAGAAGTTGAATTGAATTGTGAAGTCCAATGATGAGCGTGCCACATATAGTTTTCTCCACCAATACTTATAATTGAGCAGTGCCTTTTGTTTGTTGCTCTCTCTGTTTTACAGCTCTGCTTTTGAAAGATATCTGTTCAACAATAGTCGTTGATTATATTATTTTGAGATATTTAATAATATTAATTTAATTTATAAAATTAATAGATATTATTATATTTAATTTTTAATTTATTTTTATTGGTAATTATCTCTATTATATTTTTTTAGACAGTATATATATTATATTTAGAGGGTGATATAATAATATTATCCAGCATTTTAAAAAACATCCGCGTGAGGTGAAACTTTTTATGCAGTACGGGGTAAGATGTAATTCCCGAGACAGCGTAAGTCTTATGGATCTACGGAGCGTAGTCTCATACATATTCATTTTAATAATTTTATTACTAAAAAAATAAGAAAAAGTAAAACTTTCAATTATTTTACAAATAAATTTTAATGAATAACTATAATATATAGAAAAAATATTATGATTTTATTTGAGAAGGTAATAATAACCAATAATGAAGAAAAAAAAGTATTATAATTACTATTTGAGAAATATCATTACACCAATAATAATAAAAACATGATTTAAAGCAAAAAAGTACTAAAATAAAAATAAAAAAAACCGAGGGCGTACGTTTTTACGTCCAAGGCTTACGTTTTTACGCTTGAAGCTTACGCCCTAAATTCTAGAACTTACATCTTATGGATCTACGTATTCAATTTGCACCCTGGAGCGTTTTTGGTACGCCCCGCCCCGAGACTCTCCCCGAACTTGCCCTAGAAAGCATTTTTGAAAACAATGATATTACCCTTCTATTTATAGTTTCTTAAAAAGTGTATAAAGTTGATAGTAAACAAGTAGTATTTGGACAGAGGGAGTGCTAAATAATTACCAATATACCTATAATCACGGCAGGAATTAGAGTTTATACCGGGGCAAGGGCGACTTAATAGCCTAAAGTCAAAATTTAATATTAGAAAATCAAATAAACATACATTTTGATTCATATTAAGTACTCTCTGCATTGTATTTAATATATATTTTAATATCATAAATTTCAAATTTTGAGTGACTATATCTCTACCTAGGGCATTAAGTTTTGCTATATAATTTATAGGAAGTATACTAAGATGAAAATATGAAGAAGCATGATGGTGTTGGAAGTGGGGTAGTATGTGTTTTTATCAATCAAATGACTATCTACTAGGGCCTAATATTTATGGCAATAACAACATATATATGAATGAAGAAGTAGTTAAGATAGGAGTTTCAAATAGTTGGTGCAGAGAGGGCCTAGTTTTACAGTATTAATAATTGGTTTTAATAGTAGTAACTATAGTTATTGTGAGTGAAACTGCAAGGGATAACATGGCCTCCCATGTGCTATGTGGTCATACTTCAAATTTGTTGTACACTTCTCTGTACTTTCCACACTACACGGACCACCTCATCCTCATTCACATTCTATTATTACTTCGTGTTTTAATTTGTTATTTGATATGAATTTTTAAAAAAAAATATATTGTGTTTTTGACTAAATCAAAGAATTTTTGAATGTAGAATAAGCAGTCTTTTTCAATTAAATAGACTAAAAAAATATAACAATCAAATTAAAACAGAAAGAAATATATTTTTGCCGTCCAAAGAATTATAGGATTATATGTTTTTTTTTTTTTTTGGTCAGAAAGAAGTAAATAGCATATAACAAAAAAAAGGTTTACAGGGTCATAAATTGTGCCTGTGCCACTACAGAAACAACCAAACTAACAAATGATGTATGTACAACCTGCCTAGCCGAACTAATATTAAACATTAACGGGGAAGCAGCCTGCACTCTTCTACTATACAACTCTGCATTCTCGTCAGCCCGCAAAATATGTAGGATTATATGTGGATTTACTTGACTATGAAATATTCATATTTTCTATTGCTTGAGTTTTTAAAGTAAAATATTATATGTTTAAAAACTAAACAAATGAAATCAATTGGATGTTCCCGAGGCCAATCGAAACTGTTCCATAAGGAATTTCTTATTGCAAAGTTCATTTTTAGCTTTAAATCCCTAACTCAAGAGTGGTCCGCCGATAAGCTCACGTACATTAAAAATTTGGGATAAATTATACAGTTAATTTAATATAATAAAAAAAAATTATTTTGGGCTTAATATTGAATATCCCCCTTATTCTATAAAATTTGGGATTAAACTAATCCAAAAATTAATTCTTGAATATCAAACGATTTCTAAGTGCCATACACACAACTGTAATTTAGTCTACTAATCAAACGATTTTTGGCTTATTTTTTATTTTCCCTCTTCTTCGTTAGTTTTCTTCATTCATACTCGTTACATTTACTTACTCTTCATATCATTTTTTTTTTAATTTACTGCATGACTGTTGGATCATCAGTCTCGTTTTCAGTACAACCCATTTTGATCAGCTACCCTTATCTGATCTTCTCTATATTGCATTTGCATGTGCATTTTCCTCTTTTTCATCTGAAATTCATCTATTGTTTTCGCTCCTTTCGTCTAATATCACTTGTTCACGTAATTAAAATTATATATCTCAAAATACTTTATAAAAACAAGATAGAAATTTATTAAAATTTCTAACTAGTAGAACTTTCAACTTTATATGAGTTCGATCCTACTCGTTATCATAAATCAAGATATACAGAAATAATTAATATATTCAAGATAATTACGATACGTATTTTATAAAATAATGTCCACACATCAATTAAATGAAATGCAATAAAAGATTGATAGGTATATGAATCGCTTTCAAAGAGCCATAGAACATGCAAAGGGAAATTAGTGTCTCTAGCTTGCTTTCTTTTTTGCTATTCTCTCATTATTGATCCAACGCTTTTGTTTGGGAATTTTAATTAATTATGTGGTGATTATATTGGAGTTTGATATGGGGCTCATTTTCTGAAAACTACTACTCATCTGCAATATAAAAAGGACCACTTTCAAGAAGAAAAATATATTCTCTAGTTCTATTAAATATAATATCGTTTTCATCAATAGTCTCGCGATACAGGCTGGATTCAAACTCGTGACATTATGATTCAAATTATAACATTTCAGTCATCGATTGTCTATTGGAAGTTGGAACGCAAACATCACGTTGTCAACATATTTCCCCTAATTAAGAGACCATAGGGCTACCAAAATTAAACACTAATTGATTAATCGGACAACTCACATGCAATATAATTAATTAGGCTGATTTATGCAAATCCCTTTTTGAAGATCTACTAAATTAGCCTCCGGATAATTTACACTGGGGATTAATGTTTTGTTCATAGGTTGTTGAACTTTACGGAGAAAGCATTAGATCATCGTTTAGCGTTTGCAATGACTTATAAAATTTTGGGCTATACAAATCTAACGTTTTCGCGTTAGATTTTTAATTTGCTCCAAAGGATCTTCAGACCGTGGTTTAAAAAGTTCAATATATTTCAAGAGAAATAAAAATATATAGTGAATTTACTAAACAGACACCGAACTTGCCAAAAATCCAAATACTTCAAGCTTGAAATATATCAATGATTAAATACTGAGAATGGAATAGAATTACCTTTAGTTGAGCGACTTTGGGTTATAAAACAAAGTTAATTGACTTTTTAAAAGAACTATCCTTAGTTGAGTGACCATTTGATCATATAATCTCTAAATTTGAGTATCTTAAGTTTTTTATTCTTTCGTACTTCTCTCCACTAATTAATTTAATTAACCATGTAATTAATTATGCCAAGGAAAAATAAGTTTGAACAAGTGAAGCAAGTACAAACTCACATGATCCTAATAACATATTAGTTTAATGGCCTAATTCATCGACGGCCCCTTAAAGTTGTCCACATATTTCATTTGGACATCTCAACTAGGGTTTGTACCTATTGAATACTTTATTTGTTCAAAAATCAATCATATTTGACACAAAATGCTGACATGGCAAAAAAAGTGTGCTCCACACACCTTGAGCGCGTAAAGCAGATAAAAATAGTATTTTTCCTTTTTTATTTTCTCATTTATACACTTAATTTTTTTAATTTTTTTTAAAAAGAAATAAATGAAAGCATATCTTCTTCCCACAATGTTCCTCTGCAAGACTGCAACCATTGTTCTCCTCTTTCTCTCGCTCTTTTTTTTATTTTATAAAATCATAATATAAATCAATTGAAGAATGATTTTAGTTTAAAGTTAAAGACAACAAAAACACTAGATTTGGAAAATTTGCCCTATGTTGGGCATTTGTTAATGCTGAGTATGCATTATAATTTTCTATTTTTTAGAGCAATGAAACCCACAATAAAGCAACAAAATCGTACATACATTATTATAAAGATCTAAATCTCAAATATTCTAACAAAACTCCATTTTTTCCGATAAAAATAATACGAATTGATTATTTTTTCCGGTAAAAGTTGTTATTATTTTTTATATAATTATGATAACAACTGATTATTAGTGGGAAGAAAATAAAGACAATGGATTATGGACAGTAAAGTTCAATGGTAAAGAGTAAAAAGGTGAGAGTTTGGTTGGCGGCCTATTGCCGCCGGTGGAAGGATGAAAAGAAGGAGAAGAAAGGGGTTGGGGGTGGGGTGGGTTGATTCAAAATAAATTTTTTTTAATTTTTTTTTTTTTTGAATGATTTAAATAGAGATTAAAAAAAATTGCATTCAATTGCCACGTGTCATTATTTTATTGGTCCATCAGCAATGTATTTGTGTTTGAGACACACGCACTTTTATCTTTCAACTGATTTTCATTTTGTGTTAAATAAGTATAAATTTGTTAAGATTAAAGTGCTCAATAGGTACTAGGTGTAGTTGAGGTGTCTAAATGAATAATGAGGACAACTTTGAGGGGCCCATATGACTTTGACCTAGTTTAATTTATGCAGACAACCCTAAATTAAAGATCAATCAGTTACATTGGTAGTTGGAGATGGTTACATGGAATGTATAATGTCATACTTAGCTACCTGTTTTGTTGTTGCTTCCATAGCGAAAATATAACATGCGCTAATCGCTATGTATTTTTATATTAAAAAAAACGTTGAGGTAATAAATGTTGGGTTTTTAAAATGTGTGAATGAAAAATGAAGAGTTGTAACTTTTATGAAAAATTGTGATATTTATGAAGAGTTGTAACTTTTATGAAAAATTGCAACTTTTATGAAAAGTTGCGACTTTTATGAAAAATTGTGACTTTTATGAAAGGTTGTGACCTTTTCGAAGGGTTGTGACTTTCCAAAGAGTATCTTTTTCGATAAGGCACAATAAACATATGTTCACACTACCCTTTGTTGTCTATATATATAGGGATTTCCTCTTATTTTAAATCAACCGATTTTCTGGACTTCTTCTACTACTACTAAATCTAGTACTCTAGTTGTACTTTACTGCCGCTGAGTGGTTCGCTGACACCGTGGTTATAGGTATCGATACACTGGTGAGTAAAATCGTTCTATCCTGAGAGGATATATTCCATTAACCTCGAGTACTTGTGGAGAATAACTTCCTTAAGGGGACACTAGTGGACTCAATTTTCTTCTTTGATAAAAATATTTCATATAATATTTCTAATCGGTTTATGATTTTATTTTTTCTCTACTCATTTTAATTTTCTAGTTTTGAAAATACTCTTTAAACTTTATTGTTTTTATCAAGTTCTTCAAAAAATTTGTTCCAAGTATCTTAGAAATACAGGATAAACAACAATAAGCATATACACTCCACCTCTCGTCATAAGGTTGTGGGTTCAAGTGACCAAGCGAGCAAAATAATGTGATCTCCGACAACTAAATTAAGATGGCAGTTTCAAGTAGTTGGTGTTGATATCGGTCCTTACAGTATTGTCTTTAGTAGTACACTACTTATTGTGAGTGAAATATATCTATCTATCTATCTATAACTGCAAAGGTAACATGCCTCCATGTGCTATGTGGAGACCTTCGTCACTATTATACATGAAACTGTTGTTCAATTATATGCTATTAATTGAACTGACTGGAGAGAAGCACAAGGGCTCACTCAAGATATTGTCACCGCCGTATTTTACTAGGACGCAATATATTGGAATCCTCTACCACTACCATGAATACCAAGCAACTAACTATGTATAGAAAAAAAATAATTGACTTTAATTTTCAATTAGTTACACTTGAGTCAAGTTTTTTAAAGAAATAATCAGGGTAGGGGAAGGGGAAATGGGGAGGAGATTATAAGATGGGGAATCAAACTTTCATTAACAAAGTGAAAGTTCAAATCGTCAACCAACTGAATTACTAAAAGGGGTTGGAGTATTTTTTCTATTTTCATCCTTATAGTTCTCTTCTTTAGACTGAGTTGTGTACTTGTGTAAGAGGAAAGGAAGTCATAAAGGGGTATGTGAGTACCAACAAGGGTTATAGTGGAGTGATAAGTACTCTTTTATCCTTAACCAAGAGGTTTTGGGTTCGAGCCCCCTTGGGTACAGAGTTGTCTTTGTTAGGGAGCATTTTATCCCCCAATGTCAGACTTTCCGGCGCGAATACAGATTTAGTCGGGCTCCAAATGGACATCGAACATTGGGCGGGAAACAAATAAATAAAAAGGTGTATCTGAGTAAAGCAAAAGAAGACATAAATGTTGGACATATATACATAAAGTACGTAACACATCAATAAAGGATTGACAGATATGTGAATCACTTTCCAAGCCTTTGAACATGCTAACAGATACTAGTGTCTCTAACTTGCCTTCTTTTTTTTCTCCTCTAGTTATAATGGAGCCAACACCTCTTTCAATTTTTTGGGGTAGATTTATTTAATTCTGTGGCCTTCATATTGGAGTTTGTATAGATGGGGCTCATTGTTTGATAACAACGGGAGCCTTGCAACGTTAGAGTAACTGGTAAAGTTGTTATCGTGTACTTTATGTGGCTATGTATATAGAAACAACTTCTTGCAAAAAAGACTTTGTATTACAATAAATAAACTCTTATGATCCAAGTCTTACCCTAGATCCGACCAGCAGGAGGTTAGTACACCGAACTGTCCTATTATTTGATATAACAACTCTTCTTGTGAATAAAGGACCATTTCGAAGAAGAAAAATAGATCCCATTCTATTTCCAGTAACTATATCATGTTCATCAACAAAAATGCTTGCCCTTTTTTTTCCCTTGTTTTTTTAAATCATGAACAATCCCAATACAGGCTGGATTCAAATTTGTGATTTTAAAAGTCGAATTGAAACATTTTAATCACCGAACTGTCGATTAGAAGTTGGAACAAAGAAGATCATGTGTTGTCAACCTATTTCCCCTAATTAAGAGACAATACATGCATGGGGCTAGCTAATTGAGTCTGACAACTCACAATAATTTCAATGCAATATAATTTCGCCGATTTAGCTGTCTCATATATTGTTCAACCTTACACATAAATATTACTCCTACTTACTTAGAATGTATATTTGTAATACTAACTTACAAAATCCTAGACTGTAATATCTTACTTATCTTAATAAGATTTTTTAAATATATCGTCATCTAAAATGTTCATAAATTTACGAAGATTGATGGGATACTGGTGAAAATTTCTGATTTAATTCGAAGTTGGAAAAATCAAAAGCTAATGTATCTCTAGGATAGCGTGAAACTGTAGAGTCTATTTCTATGCATTAGTAATGCAATGGGTTCTAATGCATGCATTAACATTATTAAAGACATAATTGCCCTCAAAAACTTTTTTTACATCCTTTCCATTATATTTGTTGAGGGTATTTTTGTAAACAAATATTTTTTCTAAAAAAACTATGTAATGCATAATATTTTTAGTACACCAAACCAAACATTGTATAAAAAAATCTTATCATAACTAATGCAAGCATAACTAATACAAGCGTTACTAATGCAAGCATTACTAATACACTATATTTTACATTATTCTTATACACTCTACCAAACGACCCCTAAATGTACTACTCTTCAAAGAAAAGCAGAAACCAAACATTCATAAAAAACCAAACACTGCACTGCTATTAGAAAAAAGTAAAGGTTCCTTCTTCGTACTTCTCAGTACTACTTTATTGCTCTGCAATGCCCTTTCCTCTTGTTCAAATGTCACTTCTTCTGTTTTCGAGATAACTTTATTATTTTACCCCACCTTTACATATATGGAAAAAAATTGTTTATTAAAATTATATCTTAGGGTGGTGCAAATAATATTATTTCACCTCAAATTTCCAGCGAAGGGGTCCTTCGATAAGGGTGGGTTCGTCTTTGTGAGTACATATATATACTCCAGGTATCAGAAGTGGTTCACTGAATAGTACAAGGGGCAATCAGATAAATAGTTTGGGTTGTGGGTCTAATCAGAATAAATATATTAGATTGGGTTCAATTTGGATAAATACTTTGCCTAATATGTTCAATTTGTGTAGTTTTCCCTTTTTCTTTTTAGTGAAAATGAAGTAACACTAATTCCTACTACATTTTTGGAGAAATTTTATATCAAGCTCAATAAATACGTAACGTATATGACACTTTTTTTTATTTGATCAGCCTAAAAAAACATTTTTTATTTAATATTATATTAACTTTAAACTTCTTATTTTACAATTTATATGATAATTTCTAACCACTCAAACATTTATAATTTATTTTAAATCATTTATTCTCAATCAAATATGGACTTGAGATGGAGGGAGTTTGATTTTTTAATATAAACATGAGTTTCAATGTTTTATCTACCTAAGTTGGCAAGGGTCCTCTTTGTCATATTAGAACCAACATAGAGTTGTAAAATCCTATGGGCTTTAGGTCCCATCTTGTCCTATCTCCTCTAATTCACAACTGTACGTACCCCACCACCTCACCCTAATACAAAAAATATACTTAAATAAAGTTGAGGACTTCCTTCATAAATAGCTTCATATTCCCTCAAACCAAATCAACAAGTCTACATTATTCTTTCTTCATATATACACCAAAAACTCTCAACTTCCTTTATATTTAAAATTTCTACATACCAAAATGGCCATTAGAAAATCAAACAAACTTCCACAAGTTGTACTTTTAAAGCAAATAATGAAAAAATGTTCCAGTTTGGTTAAGAAGAACGACTACGATGGCGAAGACCGCCTTCCTATTGACGTACCAAAAGGACATTTTGCGGTTTATGTTGGAGAAAATAGAACTCGATACATCGTACCTATTTCTTTTTTGAGTCATCCCGAGTTTCAATGCCTCCTTCATTGTGCTGAGGAAGAATTTGGGTTCGATCATGACATGGGCATCACAATTCCTTGCGAAGAATTTATTTTCCAATCACTCACTTCCGTCCTGAGATAATAAATTATTTGAAAAGAGAAAAAAAATGTGAATATTAGGTGTAAGGGTTAATTTTTGAGTGAAGAAAGATGGGTTCAAGATGAAGCAATTTGCTTCTCTTTTTTCAACCATTTTTCTTCACTCTGTAAGGGTTAAAAATATTTTTTGTGAGTTTTGAGTAACCCTGACCTAGGAATCACATGGATATTAGTAATGTTTCAGATTCCTTGTAGTGGTGTTTTTAAGCACCCTGTGAGAGAAGTCATGTTAATCTATTTAATTTGTTATTTTTTTTATACAATCTGTTTGCATCTTATCAATTTGGGAAAATTCAATTGAAATTGGTCATAATACTCTGTCTCCTCAACAGTAGTAATTGATCTGAAACTCTGGTAGACATAATACTCCATCTTTTCACTTTTACCTGTTATTTTTGGAATTAATAAAAATGATTCCAGAAATAAGAAATAAGTAATTATTATTGAAGAAAAATATCATTAGTCTTTTCTTGATATGTTAAAAATGACAAGTAAAATGGAGAAGAGAAAGTGAACAATATTTAGAACTCCTTTACTGTGTGCGTTCCAAATTTGAGATCGAGTATTTTTTATTTTTGTAATGACCTTGGTGTCCAAACTAGCTTTCACGCACCTTGATTAATTCCACGGGATACCTGCCACCTCCCACTAGCATTAGGTACCTAGCAACTTTGTCCACCAAGACTACAACAAATGAGAAGAATCACTTAATGTTTCCACTGAATTTAGATTTAAGTATTTATTTTCGAGTATAACTAATGCAGAAACTCTCTCTTTTGGGATAAACAATTACTCACAAAAGATGACTCCATTAATTTCTTGGATTTAAACACAATAACTCTGATTAGAAATTATGTAGTACTCCCTTCACTTCAATTTATTTATCTTATTTAAACCAAGCACAAGGTTTTCACTTTTATTTGTATTTTGTAATAATATTGTCCTGATCAGAACAATTCAACTAGAGAAACATAACAAGCAACGATTCATATAGTAGATGGCAATTTGCTTGAACCTAAAGCATAATTATTAATTAAAACTTGTTTGAAACGATTAGTGGATTATTTGATGCATGTACAATTTACAAATAGTTGTATAATATAAGCCATATTTTGTTATTTCTCATTTGTTGCTTAAGGTATAGGTGGTATCCTGATATTTAATTTTATTTTCTGAATTATTCGTATGAATGTGCATGCGTTGTCTGGGGTCTATTAAACCTGTTGCTAACCTTAATTTGTTGCTAATTACAACACATGATATCCTTATCCTTAAATTTGCACTAAAATTGAGGCAGTCAACTTCAATTCTACATCCTCGAAACTTCCTAATTTAGCATATTCCTGTTTATATGGGCCCTCTTTATCATTCTTACATATAGGTTGGTTGTAAATATCTATGCTGAGTATTTCATTTTCCTACCGACAATTGAAGTTTATCGATTTTGAATTTCAATTTTTTAGGATTATTTCAATTTAAATGAACAACTTAAAAATGAATACAGAATTTGAATCAAAGTTATTTCAGTTCTGTCTACAAACTCATTTCATAAACAATATTTATCCATGTCCAACAAAAAAAAAGAGGGGGCTATGGTCCTAGAAGAGGCGTAGGTAGTCCATTTAATTTTATAAAATCAATTATAGGACCATGTAAAATTTGAGGCTGAAAACTATATCATATCAATAGGGGAGTGAAGTGAAGATATGACAGTTTGAAGTACGTAGTTGATGCTGATATCACACGGTATATGTAAATATATATATATATATATTGTCTTTTGTAGTAGTACTAAACTTAAATACTTATTGTGACTGAAATAAATATACTTTAGAGTAACATGTCCTCCATGTGCAATATGGAGGGACACATAGATGAAATTGTGATAATTTGTACATGGACCACCTCCTTTTTATCATACTAGTAATTCCCCTATCGGACGCAATTCACATTTGTATTTTTATATAATAAATAATTTCAATATAACTAATTTCAATATATAATAAACTATTAATTCAAATTAAATGCTATAAATATAGTTTGATTTAATTGTACTCTATAGCAAACTATTGCTATTTAACCTCTCTCCTGGTGAATCTCGCTCGCCACTCTCGTTCTCTCCCTCGCCTCTCTCGTTTTTTATACAAACGCAAGTGTATAAAGTGAGTTTGTGTTTGTATAAAGCGAGAGAAAATTGTATATATACATATATTTTCGTTCCTCTCTCTCCCCTCTCCCAAATCTCGCTCTCTTACTCGTCTCTCTCACTTTATACAAAAACCGCAAATTGTATAAAATGCGTTTGTGTTTGTATAAAGCGAGAGAAAATTGTATATATACATATATTTTCGTTCCTCTCTCTCCCCTCTCCTAGATCTCACTCGCCACTCTCCCAAATCTCGCTCTCTCACTTCCCTCTCTCACTTTATACAAAAACGCAAATGTATAAAATGCGTGAAATTGTATATATACATATATTTTCATTCTCCTCTCTCCCCTCTCCCAGATCTCACTCGCTCACTCGTCTCTCTCACTTTATACAATTGATCTTTTTGTATATGTATACCAAAGCAGATTATACAACTGCTTTCTTTTGTATATGTATAGCGAAATATACATATTTATGTTTGCTATGGAGCGCAATTATGCAAAGTTTGTTATAGCATACAAATATGAATTTTGTGTTTGCTATATGTGAAAGCTGCTCTTATTAATACACATTATTCTTATACTCCCTTTCGGACGATCCCTTAAAGGGGTATCTAAGTAAAGTAAAAGACGACATAAATGTTGGACATAGATAGAGTACGTAGCACATCAATAAAGAGAATTGATAGATATGTGAATCACTTTCTTAGCCTTTGAACATGCTGAAAGATAATAGTGTCTCTAACTTGCCTTCTTTTTTTCTGTTCTTTCATAATCGAGCCAAAATTTGTGTGGGAATTTAATTTAATTCTGTGGTGATCATAGTGGACTTTGAAATGGATTTCCTTATCTGAAAACTACTACTCATCACAAAATTAAAGGACCACTTTGTAGAAGGTAACTCTTATCATTTTCTCAACTTGCACACCAAAATTGCTTGCCCTTTTTCTTTCCTTGTTTTTATCTTTTAAAAAATAAAAAATCATCAACACTCCAAAGACAAGTTGGATTTGTTAAAAAATTGATAAAAAGTATGGTGTTTAATGAGATGCGTTGACTCGTTTTAAAGCTTGGTCAATCCTCCTTTTTTGAGTTAGCTTTGGAGTGTGAATAAAGCCAAGACATAATTTTAACATGATTTAAAACAGGTAATTTTACAACTCAAATTGAAACAGTTTAGCCATGGATATATCGAGCTTGTCTTTTGGAAGTTGGAAAAGTTGGAACAAGAACATCATGATGAGTCGAACAAGTCAAAGTAACAATGCAAATATTATTCGGCTCATTTATGCAAATGTTTTTTTTTTTTTTTTGGATCTGATTTAAATTTTGTCCACATTTTTTAAATTTGTGCAAATATAACCTTTGCTTAATTACAATCGAATCTAATATCATTAGACAGTCATTCAACGTTTGCAATAAATTACAAAATTGTAGATTGTGATCAAGTATTTTTCATCAGATTTTCATGAGTTTAGTCGACAGATTTTTAAGAGCGTGATCGTAATTAAATACCTCATGGAATAATATCATGATTAAATACAGCATGAATAAATTTATTCTAAGTAAACGTAACTCGTTGTCGGAAACCTAAAAATTAAAAGTCACCGTTTAAAACTGAGTATCTTAAGTTTTTTAATATTTCGTATAGTACTTCTCTATTAATTAATTAACCATGTAAAGAAAGGGAGAACGAGTTAGAAAAAAAGTGATTAAGCAAATACAAAATCACATGATTCCAATTAGCTGACATTGGTTTTACAGACAAAATCCAAATTAATGCTCAATTAATTACCTTGTTAGTTGGAATAGGTTAACATTTGTAAGTTTACACGAAAAAATTAAAAAGAAAGGAATCCATAGGACGGAAAAATCAAAAGGTATTTCTATATAAAAATTTACTGCATGCATCTAATATAAAATTAGGTCTTGCGTTTGACTTACAATTCGAAAGATAGTTTTAAAGAAGGAGGATTGTCCAAGTCTTATAAGAAATCTACTCAACTCATTTACTATTGATGTAAGATTTTTGTCATTCTTTTACACCTTAAATACAATGCTTAGCATCTGGTGCATAAATAAATTTATTTTTGGGGTCAATATTGAGTGGGATGGATTCTACTTTGATACAATGTAAAATTAGATCTTGATTCTAACTCATATATATCCTAAAATTAAATTCGAAGAAAAGAAGATTGTCCATACGCTATAAGAAGACCAATCGTTGTTGTTTTAACAAGTAAATTACTTTTCTTCTATTAGTAGTATCTGAATAGAATCAAACAAAACCAGAAACCAAACATTCACTAAAAACCAAACATTTTCTGAAAAAGAAAGGTTCGTATTTGGTACTTGTGAGTACACTTATTTTGCTCGTCCGTGATTTCTCTACAGTGCCCTTTGGTCTTGTTTAATGATCAATCTGTTTTATTCTAATGTCAGTGTTTTTCTCAAACTAATTTATGTAATATAATTATTTATGTCTCATTGTCATTGAGAAATGTTCAAATTATACATCATGATAGTACATACAAATGAATTTCTTTCATCATTCGATTTGATACAAAACATTGAAATTCGATAAACTTTTTGAGAGGTGTAATTTTGTACCTTTTTTTATTAAAAAAATCATTTTAAAAGGACTATCTTGGTGATTTTAGTTATATTCTACGCTCTTCAAACTTGACCAATAATAAGATTATATATTATTTTTGTTGTTTCTGTTAAATCTAACAAATAAAGTTTGGTAAATATTTTAGGTAAAATTACAGCCAAGTGGAAATAGAAGGGTCCTCTTTGTCACTAGGATAACCATAATACATACCCTATGGGTTTTGGACCCCCACATTATCTCAAATCCACAGAAAATAAAGATAGTAGGGGCCAATTCTCCTTCATAAATACCTTCCATCTTATTCCAAACACCATATTCTCTCATACCAAAAAATAAAAAGTAGTCTATTTCTTATTACTAAATCTCTCAACTTTCTACAAGAAATACATACCAAAATGGCCAAGCTTCCACAAGTTGTACTTTTGAAACAAATTTTGAAAAAGTGTTCTAGTTTGAGCAAGAAGAATGAAGTCCACTTTCCGATTGACGTACCAAAAGGACATTTTGCAGTTTACGTTGGAAAGAATAGAACACGATACATCGTACCTATTTCTTTCTTGACTAATCCTGAGTTTCAATGTCTCCTTCGTTGCGCTGAGGAAGAATTTGGCTTTAATCATGACATGGGCATCACAATTCCTTGTGAAGAATTCATTTTCCAATCACTTACTTCCATACTGAGTTAGTAAATTATTTGGAAACAAGAAAAAGTGTGAATTGTTAATTTTGGAGTGAAGAAGGATGTGTGTTCAAGATGAAGCAATTTGCTTCTCTTTTTTGTAACATCATTCTTTACTTCTTTGTTTTTTTTTTGTAACATCAGAGTTTCCTCTAACCCTGACCTAGGAATCACATGGATATTAGTAGTGTTCCCTTTTTTTTTATGGGTTAGTTGGAAATTTTTTCCTTGCAGTGGTGTTCTTAAGCACCCTGTGAGAGAAGTGAATTCAGTGTTTCCAATCTATTTAATTTGTCATTTTTGGATACATTTGTCTCTCAAATTTTCTGTATTTTTAATTTAATGCATCTTATCTATTTTTGTATCCAATTAAGTATAATTGAAATTGGTATTAATTAAGAAGTCCCACATTGGAAAAGGGATGTGAAATTGGTGGACTTGAATCATCCTCCCCGTAAGTTAGTTTTTGAAGTTGAATTAGGCCAAAAGATTCATATTTTACAGTAACATTGAGCAAAAGCAATGATATGAAAGACTTCCGCAAACATAATGTTAAGTATTTTGTAGGTGTGTTTCTGATTAGATATTTATTTTCGAACACGACTAATTTAAATTTGCATAAAAAAGTCCCATTTTGGAGATGATATATAATTCTCTACCAAAGATGAACTAGGAATGAATTGGTACTTACTTACCACCAAACTACAACATTTTATTGTTGAAACATAATGTTCTTGAACAAGTGTTATGGATTTTGATGAACCTAATAGTTTTTACCTAGTGTTTATTAGAAAATTTATAAAAAAAATTATAAATATTTTATTGTGAACCTAAACTGATTGAAATCTAGGCAAGAACCAATAAATTTCAAATCGTCAATCCGCTTAGGGCTGTTAATTCACATTTTCACAGCTCCTTAATCTTAATAATGGAGTGCATATGTAATTAGGGGTAGGGTGGATTATCCCTTTGATTTAACTATGTTTATATATATATATATATATATATATATGTTTTATCCTTTTTAGCTCTCTTTTATGTAGGAGTACTTTAATAAGTATTGAATTAATTTAATATTAATAATTAGTTAAATAAACTTTCGACATTCGATAATTCATTTGTTGCTTGAGGTATATCTGGATACTGGAATTGTATGAATGAGCATGCGTTGTCTGGGGTCTATTATAAATGTTTCTGTTGCTAGCTTGTAAACCTCTTTTCTTGATTATAATAGCTAGCGGATTCAGGATTTAGAATTTTTAAGTGCCAAATAGACTCATAGATTAAATTAACATGGCTTCGGATCAAATTATTCATTCGATCTATATGACAAATCAATCATATTTGACTGAAATCATGAGTGGACAACGTTAAAACTTTCAATAATATTACTTATCCTTAACTTTTCACAAATTTGAAGTGGTGAAGTTCCATACATGATGAGTATATTTCCTGGAAACTTCCTATTTTATCATATTCCTGTTTTCTGGGCCCTCTATTTCTCTTTAGCTCTCATATTTCTTATCTGTGATGTCTAATATGGTACACTACATATATATTATGAACCGACATTACTATATCTCACCTCCCAGTCCGTGAAAACAACCCATGTTGAATCGTTTATGAATTTAAAATTTATGAGTTCTGAAGTCTAACTTGTTAGAGTTGCGGGGTTCTAATTATTCATATATGTGATGTCTAATATGGTAAAATAGAGCTACAATCAAAGGATGGTCCATTTTGGATATCACCTATTATGAGCTATGATTTTCAAGTCCCCTCAAATCCTTGACCTCAAGTTTTATCACTTATAGTAACTATACTACGATAAAAAAAAAATCAGGAAGCATGGTCCTTGGACGTAGGGTAAGTATGTTTTTTTAAAAAAAAAATCAATTATAGGACCATATAAAATTTGAGGCTAAAAATTTGAGCATATGAATGACAGAGTGAAATAAACAAGACAGTTTCAAGTACGTAAATGATGTTGATATCACACAGGGCCACAGTATTGTCTTTACTACAACTAGTTGTGGTATATTTGAGTTAAACCTTTGATTGTAGAATTTGAATTCGAAATTAAATTTTTGTGTAACTATCATATATATAAATACTGATTTCAAATCAAAACTTCAAATTATATGATCAAACGCCTACTTAACACATATTTGGGGGGTTGAAGAGAGTAACATGGCCTCCATGTGGTTTAGGTCACCATCATACAACCCATAGATGATATTTGTGGTTCACTACTGATAATTTGTTGTACACTTCTCCGTGCTTTGCTCAGTACAGGGACCACTCATTCTTTAATTTCCCAAAAAAACAAAAAATATTACTCTACTATAGGATTAGGTGTGTGTGAATAAACTAAATATCATTTTCTTAAGTTTTTTGAAAATATAAACACATATATTTAGAAACTACACAAATTAAAAATAATCAATCAGAAGTTCCCCTAACTCAACATGGGAAATATTCGCATTTCTTCTTTAGTAGTGATTCGTAAGGCCCGAAGCATGGGACTATATATAGTTATCATCTACTAACAAATAAGTCGTGATTACATTGAAATCCTGAAGCACCATCACAAACACCGTCACTTGCCACTTGTGGTGTAGTTAACTAATAAGTATAGAGTTGAGGGATTCATGTTCAAACTTAGAGCCGTCAAAATGGGCTTAGCCCATGGGGTCGGCCCAACCCAATCCGTTATTGGGGTAGGGTTGGGATAAGATTTTTCAAACCCATCTAAAACTAGGGCTTATAAGCCCGGCCCATATAAGTCTTTGACCCTTGAGGCTTGATTAGGGTCGAGCAGGGGTCGGCCCATGGGCCCAAACTTTTTATTTAAGGGTGACTTACCATAACCTCACTAGTATATAATCTAATTACTTAAATACACGATATGTTATAATATTATGAATCTTACCAGATTTTGGTACATCCAGATACATGAATCTCATAAAATATGGACTCAAAATTAGGTTAATTTATTCTAGATACACTCTATCCAAGTAGAATCGCATGTATCTAGGAAGATTCACATGTATCTAGGATGCATAGACAAATCTCGTGCCCTCGCCTCCCTCCAATCTTACTTGTCACTCTCATATCTCGCTCACGTATCTGATATGCGAGATACATGCTAATTATACTAGACTTTTTGCTAGTGTTATTAAAACAACACCATTGTTTGTCATATTTGATTTGAAAATGTTCTCATTTTCTTGATGTTATAGAGTTATAAGTTTGAAAAAAAAAAAATGAAAACAAGAAGGGCTAGCCCCAGCCCTCGGCCCTTCTAGGGTTGGGTTGGGTTGAGCATTTTCAGGCCCTTCCGAATGAAGGGCCAGCCCGACCAATCCCTTCAAATTCCTTGGCCTGCGAGGCTTGAACCTGGTGGGGCTGGGCCGTCCTTTTTTGACAGCTTTATTCAAAATATATTTCTCAAATAGTAATAGTTGGCATACTATTACTTCATGCACCTACTATATACTCTCTTTCTTGCATGTGTATTTCCCTCTTTTCATACGCTGAAAAGTTTACGTATAATAATATTTTAGATGTGCCATTTTATATGATGTATTTGATTTATAGATATGTTTTTTTAAATATTTAAATTAATATTTTTTTTATATAGTAAGTTATTTTTCAAAAATCTTACAAATCGTATCTCCAAATATATGATCAAAATAAGGAAATTTGACTTTCAACATTCTAACTATGTTACGTAAATCGAGAAGAAAGAATTATAGAGAACATGGGTAAAGTGAAAACAGAAAAGGCCATTCTTCAACTGTTTTTACCTTTTTGACAATAAAATTGCTCTGTTTTCTTTTCCAGTTGAAAAAATTACTCATATTAACAAACAGTATATACATTAGATTCTTTTAAAATCCAACAAGATCTGTTCGTTTCTTCTTTTTTTCATCATCATCATATATATATATATATATATATATATATATATATTCGACGGATAGGTCCATTACAGATCATAAATTGTTAAAGAAATAACAAGATTTTCTTGTCTTTTAGAGGAGATCGAAAATTAAAAAAAGAGAGTAATAATTACATATTTACAGGGGAGGATCTGGTGAACTGGTTGTTATTTGTTAAGATATGACGGGATTAACTCAACCTTCTTCACCAATACTCTTACACCATATAGAAAAACGAATTTTGATCCTAACTCAACCCAAAAATTAGTTAGAGGATTGCTCAAATCCGTCTTAGCAAACAACCTGATGGTTATTCTCCAACTAATGAGGGAGTCGGGTGGACGTTCGGTTCTTTGGTTCGATTTAATCAAATTTCGGTTCGGTTTAATTCGGTGTGAATAAAAATAAAGAGGAAATATGATAAAGTAACAATTGTTGTTCACTTCACATTTCAAACTTCAAAGTACCAATTAACAGTCTAACAATAAAAAGTAATAACATCAAAATAGTTTTGTTTAGATTGGGTGCCCTTTACTGTTTTAAAGTGTAAATGATAAAATGTGTCCTTTACTGTTTTGTTTAGGCTCCAAAATTTAAAATTTGAAATGGGCCAGGTAAATTTTTTGAGTCAAAAGATATAGTAAGTATTATTAAATAATATAATTTAAATATTTTTAAATTTATTTAATAAAACTTTGGTTCTTCGGTACACCGTAGTTTCAAGAACCTTACACCGAACTCTAAACCGAAGAACCGAAGTTTCAAAAAAAAAAGAACCGACACCAAACCGAAACACCGAAGAACCGAAATAGTTCGGTTCGGTTCGGTTTTCGATCTTCCGATATTTATGCCCACCCCTAAGTCTAACCCACTCCACCCGAATTCACGTGAATCCAATAACTTTTGTCTAGACCATGTATTTTTGTTTTTAAAAAATGATTGAGATACATAATTATATTTAGTTTGAAGTTGACACGTGGTCCCTTTTTTTTTTATTATTGTATATTAACTTAAAATTATTGTAGAAATTCATAAACTTTAAAATTCTGAATCTACCCCGCATTTATAAAATATCATCTCATCATCTAATTAAAATCTTGAATAAACTAGTCTTATTAATTCTTGAGAGTGTTGTACTTATGTAAGGAAAGTAACACATCAATGAAGGATTGATAGGTATGTGGATCTATATCTCAGCCTTAGAACATGCAAGCAATTCCTAATGTCTCTAACTACCTTTTTTTTTTTCTTTCACTCTCTTCTCTCATAATAGGGCCAAAGGCTTTGTTTGGGAATTTTAGTTAATTCTGTGGTGATCATATATATTGGACTTTGGATATATATGGGGATCAATATTGTCTGTCTTGGACCACTTTGAAGAAGGAAATCCCAATCTCAAATCTTTCTATCACCAACAATATAATACAAGAACTCCATCAAGGAATATGACGAGATGAATTAGATATATCAATTCTTTATTAAACATTGGAGTTTTAGTTCCTATGATGAAAGGAAAAAACGTTTTAAACTGTAGAACTAAATAATTATTTGGACTGATGATAGGTTCCGATAATTTAGCCCAAAGAAGAAACCAAACAATTTGGAGGAGCATCAATTGAGTAAAATGAATATAATTCATAACGTATAAAATTTGAATCTTTTGTAATTTTCTATTACCAAATGTCACTTCACATGAACAACAACAATAACAAAAACAAAAACAAATCTAATAAAATCTTATAAATTGTGACCGTTAATAAGCTAAGATGTTAGTATCAATACAAACCTTATTCCTATCTAATAAAAGTACGTAAGGGTTGTTTCCGGATACCCTAGACTCAAAGATCGAAGGCAAATTGGTTTTTAGGGACAAATTTAAAAGAATCGGTTACATTGGTAGTTGGAGTTGGTTAAAAATTTATTGATTCACACAGAAAATCTTGGCTAACTAGGTCTGAAAGATTCTTGAGAAATAAAATACTTGACGTTAAAAATGAAAAGACCATATATATCTAGGATATTGTGAAACTATCAATAACGATGTAACTAACGGCTATAGTCAAACCTGCAAATAGTCTTTTATTTGTACTTTTACGAGACTAGTGCACATGCCTTTCTCATCAGCTTTCTTTCTATCTTAATAGAATCAAAGAAAAATAGAAACAAAACATTCAAAAAAAAACAAACACTATTCAAAAAAAGTAAGGTTCCTTTTTCGTACTTCTCAGAGTACTACTTTATTACTCCTCCCTAATTTCTTCGAGTTCCGAACCTAAATAAGCCATAAAAAAATATAAGTAACCAAAATAAGTCATAAAAATATATAAGTAACCAAAATAAGTCATTATTCTAGTAAGTAACTAAAATAGGCTTAGTAGAAGAAAAATATTCGTTTTATGCCATATTTAAACCGTTTTTCGTTAGTCTCATAACGTGTATATTTTAATATATAACGAAATTATTTTTACACCTTGTATAACGAAACTATTTCTTACACTTTGTAAAGTGTAAATTTTTCTTACACTTTATAAAGTGGAAGAAAATCTTACACTTCAAGAAAAGTTACTTTACCTGCACATTGTGTATAACGTAAAGTGAGAAGAAATGTCGAATCTCAATCTATAAGAGTCCAAAATCTTTTACTCCAAGAATCAAAGGATTAGTCAAATATGAAAGATTTATATTTTTCCTTTAGGTAAATTAAAACTAATTATAAAAATAATATTTTGTCAAACAACATCATTTGGGTTCCACTGGCTCGCGAGCAACAATCTACACCACGCTATTTCATCAGTATAAAAATAGATTTGATGGTGTCTAGCTTGTGTTTGGACATACTATATGAAGTCATGATTTATAATTAATGATTGAATATGCAATTTGAAATTATGATTTGAAATTTAATTTCACATTCTCCAAAAAGCATGATCCGAAAATTCAACTTTTGAAATGTAAAATTTGATGCATATATATATATATATATTAAAAAGAGACCCCATCATTTTGAATTTCGCGAAAGTAACTTTTCTTGAAATGTAATCTTCTTCCATTTTATAAAGTGTAAAAAAAAATTCCACTTTACAAAGTGTAAGAAATAGTTCCGTTTTACAAAGTGTAAAAATAGTTCCATTATATATTAAAATATACATGTTATGAGTCTAACGGAAAACGTCTGGAATATTGTATAAAACAAAAAAATTTCTTCCACTAAGCTTATTTTAGTTACTTACTAGAATAGTGACTTATTTTGGTCACTTTCATCTTTTTGTGGCTTATTTAGGTTCCGAACTCAATTTCTTCACTCCATCTTGTGCAAGATATACGGATCGCTTGACAACATGTATAAGAATAGTACTCAAGTAATGATGAAATTATTTTTGTCCATTATTTGATTTAATTTAGTATATTAAAAATAATATGTATCATATAATTTTGAAAAAAAAATATTATTATATACAAAAATACCTTCCTCAAATACGTGGAAAATTTTTTGAGGAGCAATTATGTCATTATCAAAATTATGAAAATTATATTTTAGTACTATTTAATCTAATAATTGAATTTTCGTGTAGACATTAAAAGTACTTGAAATGTAATTAGTAGTCCCACATCGGTAGGTGGGTTGTTATTTGTTAATGTATCTCATTATTAATAATAATAGTTCTGATCATTTCCATTTTTTGAACTAATTTTAGAATGGAGTAATTAATCTTAATTCATATCTTATAATTAGAAAATAAAAAACCTTCAAGTATAGAAAATAATTTACTCATAATCATAAATATCTATATATTCTCTACAATTCGAGCTTGACCTACGTGTGTAGTGAGATTTGATAGAACACCTCCATCGTAATTAAAGATTTCGAATCCGAATTTTACACGAATTTAAATTAATTAATAGCTCATTATAAATAAAATATAGTCATCATACATATAAAAAGAATGAAGGTGTATTCTGTTGAAAAAGAAAATGAACACAAGTGTTGAGACAGGATGTTGGAAATAGAAACAAGTATCATTAATACTTTTGTTGTTGAAACTTGTAACCTTCCTAGATCAGTGAAAGCCATGTTTCAAAAATATCAATTATTTTAATCTTTTTTTTCAAATATCTTTTTTTTATTATTATTTATTTGTTTTTCAATTATGAATATTGGTAACTCATCGTTAATTAATGAGAAGGGTCCTCATTGTCATAAATAGAACCCTAAAACCCAATGGGTTTTGGCCCCCACTTTGTCCATAACTCCTCTTATTCACTTACCCCAATACACCCGTGTTCTGTCCTTTTTTAAAAAATAAAATAAAAAATCTTTTAAAAAAAATAATATTCTTTTTAAAAATAATAATAAAAAACTGTGGTCTTTCCTCGATAAATAGCTTCACATTTTTCTATTCTAAACACCACCTCCTTCTTCTACCTAAACTTGAAGAAAATAATTAAATATGGCTATTAGAAAATCAAACAAGATGCCACAAGCAGCAATCTTGAAGCAAATTCTAAAAAGATGTTCAAGTTTGGGTAAGAAAAACAGCTATAACGATGAAGACCACCTTCCAATTGACGTGCCCAAAGGTCATTTTGCAGTTTACGTTGGAGAAAATAGAACTCGATACATCGTACCTATTTCTTTTTTGACTCATCCCGAGTTTCAATGCCTCCTTCGACAATCCGAAGAAGAATTTGGGTTCGATCATGACATGGGAATTACAATTCCATGCGAAGAAGTTGTGTTCCGGTCACTAACTTCAATGCTCCGGTAAAATTTTGGTGCACTAAATTTTCGTTATGTGCGAGTGAATATTAGGCGTGGAGTGAAACAAGGATGGGCTAGCTCAAGATGAAGCAAATTTGGTGTTTTTTTTGCTTCTCTTTTTTCTAACATCCACTAAATTTTTCACTCTTTTTTTTGTAATTTATTTTCCGCTAACACTGACCTAGGAACTACATGATATTATTATTAGTAGTGTTTTTTATGGGTCAGAATCAGATTTGTAAGCAAATCTTGTGAAGTTTTCCTTGCAGAGGTGTTTTTTAGCACCCTGTGAGAGAAGTGAATTGAATGTCTCTCAATCTAATTGATTTGTCATTTTCCTTACAAATTTCTCTCATTCTATTTGTATTTTTATTAAGTGCTTCTTCATTTGTTTAGGAAAAATTCAAATTGAGAATGATTCTAATCTAGTAAAATCGGAATGAAGGGAATAAAATTAATAATAGACGGAAAATACCAATGTAATTCCTATAATTATAACTAGCTAGGTAACATGTGTTATTAAAAGGTATAGAGAGTGCAGAGTACACAAGAATACTGTGCAAGATAATTTTTCGCTGTAAGATATGTTTTAACCGTATACTTCACTTCCTCCGATCAATTTTATTCCTTCATTTTTAAGTTTGCATATCCTTAAATAAATAATGATGAATATAATTGTCTTATCACAATATTTGTATAAATAAATTAATTTTAGGTCTTGAAAAATAATTTGGAGAATAACTATTTATGTTGAAGATAAAATGGGGAATCTTAGTAGCATAGGTGGACCCACCAATGTACACCCGGTAACTACGAAAAGAAAAAATATGTATATCTATTTAGAGAAACTGGCAGAAATTGAGATATAATTAATAGTGCACTCATGAAAAGCATAAAAGTGTCATTGCGCTGCTGGTACAAGCTAGAAAATCTACCCGTGAGACCTAAGTTTGAATCTAGCTAGAGTGTTTTTATACTATTTTTAATTTAAGTTTATCTTAGAGCTCATCTTTAGCTATATAATATTGGTGCACCCAAAGTGTTTAAATCATGAAATTGCGTGTTCCACCTTGTTGATGAGAGTTTGATTCCCCACACTGTAATCCTCCCCCTATTTGTTATTTTATTTTTAAAAATAAAAAGAAGATAAAATAAGAAAAAAATAATTATTTTTTCTGATTATTAAATATAACAAATAAAAGTGAAAAATTATTTTTAAAATACTAGTAAAGTTAAAGTTAACAAAAAAAAAGTCCAGTAACTTTCTTCATTCCTATATTCTTGTTGTCCTTAGCTTTAAAAATATAGGCACAATACATAAATATGATCCTTAACCTGACATCAGCTGATAACTATGACATTTAATTTTGGATGTGCACAAGTAGACACTTAAACTTGTATAAAATTGAACAAATAACCACATTCATCCTACATGGCACCCTATATGGCAATTTTGTGTCCTACATGATGTCCTATGTGTATTATGTCATGTAGGACACATGTGTCTACTTGTTTAATTATATACAAATTTAAATGTCTACTTGTACACTCTCTAAATTGGAGTGCATAGTTATTCGCTAAAGTCAATTTAAGGATCGTGTTTATATATTATGCCAAAAATATAAGTATTTAAGAATGAAAAGAGTACTATAGTTGTTCCTACATTATTGGCCATACGAATAGGGGCAGAGCTAGGTAGAATTGAAAGTATTCATCTGAACTCTTTATAGTAAAAAATTACACATCTATATATAGTTAAATTTATTTATTTATTACGTATATATAGTGAATGTTCAAACTTTTTCTGCCTTTTTTCATATGTTAAATCTAGTGAATTTTTTTTTTTAATATGGGGCAAAAAAGAGATCGAGTCTTAAATAAATTATTAGGGACTTTGATTAGGTCTAAAATAATTAAGTTGAGTGTCTGATTGTGATTTTAAAAATGTTGGGAGCGGCGAGCGGGGATTAAAATATTCAAAGGCAAATTCTTTAATTAATCTTTAATACAAGTATCTCTGGCCATCACACTAACATTTTTAAAAAAAATCAAAATAAGGACAAATACTTCTTAGTCATCGGTTTATCGTATGTATTGTGATAATGTGATTACTAATTACTAATATTTGATTCCGTACAGTGAACTCTTCTTAATATTCCAAGTGTAAACAAGTTGGTACTTTGTTGAAGGAAAAAATAAATAACTATTATTATATACTTGGCATCGTATTATATTCTTGATGAATTCATATTATATATCGATAGTAGTGCGTCCAAGTTTACTTACTAAAAAAATTATTTGAAATTTTTTGTCTCTTCATAAACATCTAATTTTTTTCTGTACTTCCTGTTCTGCAAAAATAGCATTATAACACATAGGTTAATTAAAATATTAACAATCAAAGTATCAAGTTGTTAGCACCTATAATCTTGTTTGTTTCTTTTACAAATACGTTGGCTTTTTTCAGAAATTAATTAATGTGTTTATTTAGTTGTAGTCGCACAATTATTTGGCCAGCATAGAAAAATACGACCTAATTAATTTGCTTAGTTAATCTTTCAACTACTTATTCACCTAGGATCAGTGCTCTCAGAGATCGTTTGCTACGTGAGATAAGATAATACTTAATCATTGAATATTTCACCTTATCCGATCAAATTATTTGAGATTATTTTATTTTCGTACTGAACGACTCCTTAAGTTTTGACCAAAAATACTTAATTGTTAACTTATTTGATCAAACAAATTACACTACAATTATACGCATCATACAAGAAGAGTGTTTTAATTGATTGTGTAAGTGCAACATCTTATAGATTCTAATCCCTTGAAAACTTCTCATTTCCTCTGTGTGGCATGACAAAAAAAAAAATCATAGCATATTACAAAATAGAGATTAAAAAAAATTGAAGTCTTCCTCCATAAATTGCTTCTCTGTCCAAATACCACATATTATTTTCTCTTTCTCTCAAAGCAAATTAAATCTCTAAACTCTCTTTAAATTTCGTAAACAAAAGTCAAAAGTCAAAACATAGCCATTAGAAAATCGAACAAACTACCACAATCTGCAATTTTGAAGCGAATTCTAAAAAGATGTTCGAGCTGGAGTAAAACGAATAATTATCGCGATGAATATGATCTGATTACGTAAATATTATATCTTTTATCCGTGTGATCTGATTACGTAAATATTATATTTTTTATATCATCAGGCATAAAACACAAACTCTTCACATATTATAGTAGTACATTTTATCTTTTTGGATTTGAGAAGATTTTCTCAAAATTAAATTTAATAAATTCTAAATATTTTATTTCAATAATATCGTCAAGGATCTAACAGTTTACAATATCCAAATTAATTACTCCTTAGCTTTTATGTAGAGACAAAATTAAACCAACAAAGGATTAGATCGATATTTTCAACAACTTCAACCGTTGTCATTACGACTTTCAATATACCTCCATTATTATTATAATAATTTCAAATATTATAATTTAATTCCAAATATCATACAAATTAATTAATTAATCGATTTTTTTTGTGTCGTGAATGAATAAATTAGAGATATCGAATGAGTTGTTTGGTAGGGTTTAAGCGAATTGATCAAAATTTGTTTTGGTCAAATAATAACTCATAAACTTAATTAACTCATTCAATACGACCCAACCTTCTTCTCTTTCTTTTCTATTTTTCTTATTGTGAAAAAGATGAAAAGATATTTATAAAAATTATTAACTTAATTAAGTTCTTCAAAATTTACTTAATTTACCAATTTTAAATTTGATTTTACTATTAGTATTTTGGCTGCAATATTTTAACTCACGGGGGTTACACACTTACCCTGTTTAACACACTTCAATTTAACTCAATAATTTGATGGGTCACTACGGGTCATGACCCAACTCATTAAACTTGATGGATTGGACAAGTTACCAAAAAAATTGACTCATTTAATTTTCCACCTCTACAATATATATTATCATGCAAATAATTTCTCTACCAATATGAGTTGTGTTGTAGTGGTGAGACTGTTCCACCCTTAATCAAGAGGTCTCAAATTTGAGTCCTTTGAACTCTCATAGGTCGTGCGCGTTCCGAATTTAATCGATGCTCCAATGACAACTACAATTTCACACAAATAGAACTTATCATGCAAATACGTAACGTCTATCACGGCATGCATGCATTTTGAATAATATATGTGAATTCTTAACGAAATAATAAACCCTACATAAAATATGAGTTAGCTATCTCATATATAGCTTATTTATGACCCTTGGGGACCAACACAATAATAATAATAATAATAATGAGCTAGCTAGCGCCTACCAAGTTGGTCCTATATATCTTTAAATTCTCTCTTTGGGTCATTTTCTCTTTTTATTTCAACCACAAAAGTTTTCTGACAGTAGCAACTCCTTTTCCTAGCATAAAATAGTTAAATACAACTGCAAATTAATTAAATTGCCTTCTTTTTGTGCCCACAAAAATTAAATATAGTAGGAATGAATTATATCCTTTTTTGAGCTTCAACAACTATATTGATTTAATTTTTCTACTGACCAGTATTTATTTTATGTTGCTTCTCATATTCATCACAGAATTCCCATCTTCCTCTCAAAAATATCTTCCCTAACATCATCAATGCCATTGGCATGAGAACTTATAAATTCAACTGGACTCAATATTTTTATACACGAACACATATGTTAATATAATATAATCATGAAATTTCAACAAATATTAAAAGCGGAATTCATATACATCTAAAAAGTATAATGTAATTGTTGTTAGTTGAAGTCTAAATCTTAAATCTACCTCTGATCGATGAATGCATGTATGACCCTCTTTCTTCTTCATCATTCATTTCTTCTATTTTCTTTTCTTCCTTACCGTACTTAATTTATTGATTGGGTCCGAATAGCTAAGGATAATTAATAATTATTACAATTATTATTTTTAAATTTGTAGTACGTACTTTAGTTGGCAGATAAAAGGTCCTTATCTCTCAATATATAAAAAAAAAGTTAAGAATGATAAAACATTCGAGCCTATATAAATTTATTATTATTATTATAAGCTAAGTGAGATAAAACTGGCTTCTCATTGGATAAAAAAGGAAAGAAAATGTAGGTGATAAAGAAACAAAATTTATGTGACTATCTCACTATAAAAATTAATTTACTAAAGTTTTTTTTTTTTACTCAATTATATCTTCAATGTGCAAAACAAAATATTGGATAAATCATGCATGTGCATTGCTACGAGTTCTGATTTTAACATTGTATTTGTCTTTAAATTTAATTGAATATATACATATGGTAGTAATTTA